GAGGCTTTTGTTTGTGTTAATGTCTACAGTGAACATACAAGACTGATATTTGCTGTAATTTTTTTTTTTAGAGTTTTCTCATGGGGAATGTGTGCTCACTGGAGACAGACAGAAAGAGACAGAGGGGCCAGCAGGTGGCACAGTGGTTATATCACTGGATTCCCCCATGACTGACTGTGGTTTGAGTCCCAGACCTGGTAGATTGAAATTCATACTGGGCGCATGTGTGTGTGTATCCAAAATCCTGAGAGGAGAATGGAGGAAAGGGGATTGTGGTATGGCCATCTCCTCTGGGGGGTGATTTTTCACTTTGTCTCTCTCCATCTCTCTCTGTCTCTCTAGAGAGCACACATGCTCAACAACAACAACAACAAAAAACTCTCAAAAAAAAAAAAAAAAGAAAGAAAGAAAAGAGAGAGAAAGTGAGAAATCACCTGTCCCCCCCTCCCCCCGCCCCAGGGGGAATGACCACACCACAATCTCTTCTCTTCCATTCTCCTCTCAGTATTTTGGGTACACATACACACGCACCCAGTATGTTCAAGACAGGAGGAAAGGATTGGGATAGTAAAGTTGGAAAGAGGAAAGCTTAAATCCGTCTGAAGTCCACCCAGACTCTGAACTCAGGGAAAGCCATCAGTAGGATTTTCTATTGCTGTGGAGCTGATTTGTTATAAGATAGTTACCCTTTGCTCAAGGCTGGCTTGTTTGCTTGAAAACAACAGTCAGTGAGTGACTAACCAGGCACAGCAAGACTGGTCCTGTCACAGGAAGCCACAGAATGATGAAGACCTGGGGATGCCCAAAGGAAGTCAGTAAGGGCATGCTCTCCAATTCCTCTCGGTCTTGACTTGCAAAGTCTTCCCAAATTTCCAAGTTGTTTGTAGAAAGGGTCCTCAGAGAATTTTAATCATGTGCTAGTTATTCTTTCGTCTCCCTTAGATCCATTCTCCATCCCTTTCTGCCTGCTTCTGTGTCCCCAGAAGCTGACACAGGCAAACTCGTCATCATGCTCCAACATGTGCTGGCTAGCTTCCAGGTGGCTTTGGCCAATGGAAGACATTAACATGAAATGGGAGGGTGTGAGAAGAAAAAGGTCTGGATGTTTCCTTGTTCCTTCCCTGTCCTACCACGACATCCTGATGGTAGCTAAGCCTTCTTGTTTCTTACTGGGCCCCTCCTTCGAAGCTGTAGTCTGTACCAGGCTTTACAAACACTGATTCCTTTCTCAGGTGGCTTTGTGGTTAAAGACACTGGCGTCTCACAGGGCCGACTGTAGTTCAAGTCCAAGTCCAAGAACTGGCGGCTGGCTTACTCACTTTTTCTCTTTCTCTCTCTGTGTGTCTCTCTCTGGTCAAATTAAAAAAAAATAATAATAATAATAAGTAAAGTTAAATAAAATAATTCACTAAAAAAAAAAGACTTCTCACTGTGCTAGTTTCTGCATACCTCACTGTCTTGTTTATTCCCCCATCCCTGCATACATCTTTGTAAGTAGTCTCTACATATAATACTCCATTTGGGCTGAATTCTGTTTCCTGCAGGGTCTCTGAGAATTACCATACTGTAAAATGTTCTATGTGTGCCATGACCTCTAAATCTTACCACAACCAAACAAGATATTAACATTATCAATCCATTTTACAAGTGGGAAAAAAAATTGAGACAAGTAAAATACTCAAAGTTACACACACAGTGATCACAGCATAGGGATTCTAACTCTAGTTCTTCTAATACCAAGGGCATTTTCTTGTTCCATTTAAATTTATAAGCAAGTTCTATTTATACTTTTCCTGCAATGATTAATTTCATTTAAATAAAACCAGATTTTATGTCAGCTGTCTTATGAACATATTGATCAAGCCCAAGCCCATATTTTTGAAATAGAATTTGATGAAATTCACAAAGAAATTGCTAAATGAAAGTACAGTATCTCTTAAATGACTATAAAGAAAACAGAAGACTTTTATTTAAAACAACGATAAAACATGATAATCTGTTCTTGCTTGATACTAACATTAAGTCTTCTTTGCCTTTTAGACTTTTTTGGCAGATACCCAAGGTTGCAACCCAAGAATCACCCCGAACCCCATTATCCTTATTCTTTTATACTTTAAAAGGACTTTTCCCAGACTCGTTCATAGGTATCTGTGACCAGGTAATTCAGGTCTGGTTAACAACAATTGAAAGTATTTCCTTTACTTATAAAAGGAAAAGTAAGAAAAGCTCTTAGTCCCCATCCCTTTGTTCATGCTTAAAACAGTGATGTGGGGCCAGCCAATAGCATGGTGGTTAAGGTGACTGGATCCCACAAGTCTGACTGCACGATCCTAACCCAGTGTTCTGAGAACCACAGCGGGCTTGTGTACGTGTGTGCCCAAAAGCCCTAGAGAAAAATGAAGGCAAAGGGTTTGTGGCATGGTCACATCTCTTGGGGCGGGGGGGGGTGGGCTGCGAGCCCACTTTTTCTCTTTCTCTGTCTCTCTCCAGTGAGCACACACACCCTATGACACATTTTTTTAAAGAAAAAAAAGGTGTGATGCCTAGGATTATTATATAGTGACCATGAGCCAACATAGCCAAAGTTGTTAGATTGAGCATATGAATATAGAGGATGCCCAGTTAAATTTGAATTTCAGATTAGCCACAAATAAACCTGTAGTTTAAGTATGTCCCAAATATTTTATAGCATATACTTAGACTAGAAAGAGCATAATTTTATAGATAATACGCACACATAAAAACACACATAAAGAGGTCAGCAGGTGGTATGGTGGTTAAGGCATTGGACTCCCACATGGCAAACCATGGTTCAAGTCCCAGACCTAGTGGCTTGCTTTCTCACTTTCCCTTTCTGTCTCTCCCTGGCCAAATTTTAAAATAATAATAACAGGGATCCCAGGTGGCATAGTAATTAAGGTGCTGGACTCCCACGTGGTTAACTGCGGTTCGAGTACTGAACTCAGTAGCTTGAAACTCACACCAGGTGTAAGTGTGCCCAAAATCCACAAAGGAAAATGAGGAGAAGGGATTGCAATATGGCCAAGCCCCCATCCTGGAGGGCAATTTCTCACTTTCTCTCTCTCTCTCTCTCTCTCTCTGTGTGTGTGTGTGTGTGTGTGTCTGGCGAGCACACGTATCCTATAGCAAAAATCTCTCCAAAAACTAATAATAATATTATAACAAAATTAAATAATTGTTTTTAAACACACATACACACACACACACGTATATATAAAACAAAGAACTGTTAGATTAGACTCAACTCAGTGAGTTCTGGGCCAGTCCATGGTGTGTGATAAAGGTGCCTGGATCCTATGTTGGCTCACTGGAAGCTGGGGCCATGTGCCTACGTGCCCAAAATCCTTGGAGAAGGCACTGCAGCAGTGTGTCCATGCCCAAAGTGGGTGCTTTCTCACTTTCCTTTTTTTCCCCCTTCCCTGTCCCCCTCTGGCAAGCACATATACCTTTTGGCAAAATTTACAAAACAGCTACAGTGAGTCCCACAAACTCTCCAAACCCTGAATTTTGTTATAGTTATTTTATTATGCAGTGAATGTAAAAAGAATATTAAGAAAAACATGTTTATGGCATAAAGAAAAACAACACCTAGTTAACCACTATGTAGCCTGGGAAAAAGAGCCACCTCAGAAGCAACCCTGGGTTTCATGTTTAATCTTCCTTTGTCTTTTTAATAATTTCCTCGGTTTCCTTTGTTTAGCTTTATCCCCCTTGAAAGACTAGGAATTGAAACAAGACTTTTTGCCCTTTAAAACACAGTACAGATAGCCCGGCACCCTTTCCTCCCCCATCCTCCATGGTTACAAGGTTAGAGAATGGTGCAAAATCACAAACAGGAAGCCGCTCTTTATCTTGATCATCGGAAAGCCATGACAAAGGCAGAGAAGTAGATCTTTTCAGAACTATTTAGTTTCTAGATAAACAGAGGTCCAAGTGACAAACCAGAGGAAGAGAGGAGGAAGTCTTACAAACAGGGGGCGGGGGTGTAGATCTTTGTGTGTTTTTAAACAGGCAATGTCGCCTTCCAGGTTTGCGAAGGGGTTCCCCGGCCCCTCCTTCGGTTCAGCCCCAGGCAGGCGAACCCCTACCCAAGCCTCCCTCCTGAGATCCTGCATATGCTTTCTTGCTAAACGACTCTTCGCACCGTTATCTCCTCCCGGGATACATCTGTTGGGTGCCTCGCATCCTCAGCTCCGCTTTCATCTCTTCGTTTCTCAACACATTGTTTCCTCCAGCCCTGGTGCCAGGGTGGAAGGGAGCCATCCCTCCCGGCCGCGCTCTGGGATTGGCAGCGAATGAATGATTGGCAGCGGGCATCTCTGTCAGGGCTTTGGCATGCTGCAGAGTAGAAGCCCCGTGCTAATGAATGCCATCTACACCTACCAGATGTGCCACTGGGTGACATGCCAGGTCTTTTACATAATGCCATTCTGCCGGACACGAGACAGCTGGGGGTGGGGGTGTCTTTTAATGCCTTAGGGTGGGAATGGGGCTGCCTTTATTTTGTTTTATTTTATTTTATTTTAAATTCAGACCACCCGCCACCTCCCATAAACCCAATCATCAAACTCCCCTTATGCTGGGCTAAAACCTACGTCTGACGGCGTCCCTCTCAGAGACGGCTTCGACGCTGGAGTTTGGGTTCCCAGAACCTGTACCCTGGCTTTACCCACAGTCATGTGGCGTTTGCCCTTCCTTGAGTTTACTCCCCACCCCGTCCAGACTCAGAAAAAGGAAATGTTTTTCAAAGTTAAAGAAATAAAAGCATCAAGAGGGTCTGAAATGAAAGGAGGGGAGGGGAGAAAGCACACTTCCCACCCTCAGTTATTCTCTCCTTCTCTACGCTAAATGCGCAAGGATGCGCTAACCACATCCATCCCTTTGGCAGCGTCCCTCGTTGGTTCCTCTTCCACCGTCCACCGGAAACTGGAGAGTATTTATCCCCAAGGGTGACATCCTTTTAGTGCCTGTCCCACGTTCTGGCTGAAGTAGGCTTAGGGTGGAGGTGTCCAAAAGTCCGTGCGGTTTGGAGAAGAATGTTTCCGGAGTGGGATGGACAAGGTGGGAGGAAAGGGAAATGAGAAAACCACTTCTGACGGGCAACGGATGTGTGCGCATGTTTCGGTGTTTGGGGTCTCCTCTCCCAGTTCTCGGCCCCCACGGGGAGAGTGGCTGCAGGCTGGGGAAGGGAGGACGGCCTGCCAAGCTAGCTCCCGGCTCTTTCGCTAAGCCTGCCAGTCGGGGCTGCCCCGGAATCCGGGAGTTGTGCGGGGCGCAGGCCTCTGCTGCTCCTCCCCAGGGGCCGAGTGCGGCTCACACCCTCCCTCCCACGCAAGCACACGGACCGCCGGGCGCCGCTCCCACCCGCGGACCCCAGGCGCCTTCCCTTGCACCCCCACTCCCGCCTGCTGCCGAGGCTCCAGATGGCGGCTCCTTGCGCTCGGCTCGCGGCCCCCAGACGCCGCCCGGCAGCAGCCGGCCGTCGCTCCCTCCCTCCCAGCTGCTGCAGCAGAGCTCGGGACCGTTTTTGCAAGGCGGGCGGGCTCCTCCGCAAGCTTCAGCCGGGGCAGGAGCGCGGCGCCGAAGGGCTCGGGACAGCCGAGGGGCCCGCAGGAGCTGCGCTCCGAGGAGTCAACCCTACCGACCCCAGGTAAGAAAGCCGAGAGGCCGGAGGTAAGGGGGTCCTGACCGCTCCAGGACCGTACACACTGACTCCTTTGACCTTCCGTTCGCTGCCCTTCACCTCTGGCCTGGCGGGTGGAACAGTGGCTGGCCCTGAGCACCCCCCGGGGCAACGAGGAGAAGCTGCGCAGTAGCCAGGAGGGGGCGCCTAGCACCCCTGAGCCAGACCCGGAGGGAGGGCTCGGCCGGGTTGTCCCGCCCCGGCCGGTGGGAGAGCTGTCTCCGCCAGAAAGGCGCCCCCTTCTGCTGGAGTGCGGCAATGCCCACCGCCAGCAGCTATCACCCCCTTCCCATTTCTCCAGTTTTCTCCTCTTCTCACGCCTCCCTCCTCTCGTTCACTATTTACTTTTTATGTTTTTCCTTGCCTGCTTTCCTTCCTTCTCGCCCCTCCCCGTGCATGCTGCAACCTCCCCTCCCTTGTGGCCCTTCACCGGTGCAGGGAGGTATGCCCACTGGGAGGCGTTGTGGAAGGGATTGTGTTTCACACGCAGGCGCTGGCTACTCCCCACAGGTGCTTCTGCGGGTGCCCTCGGAAACAGCCCTGAGAATGGCAGCTCGCGGAGATTGAGGCCATTCTCTTCCAAGGACCTGGGATGATGGCTGTTTGATCTGAGGGTGAGTATTGCGTTCGGGAGCAATGCTTCCCAGGAATTCGGAGTTTGAGATTCTCTGTGCTAGATGGACGCATAAAATTCAGTGGCGTGGTACCGAACCCCTTCCTCCTGCCTAAAAGTTCAAACTCTCAAGAGCTTCCTCCCTACACACACACCCAAAGGCCTCAGGTCAGCCTCCCTAGACAGTCCTCTGTTAGCAGTTGCGCATGAGATGAGGAAGGGGAGGGGAGGGCACTAAAAGGCCGAGGTGTCTCGCATCCCCAAGCCCATCTGACGTCTGCTCTAATCCCCCGGTGTTAGGGCGCGTGCCCATAGTGCCCTCAGACACTCAGCTCGCTCGCCCCTGCGCTGCGGGCCGTCGGGCTTTAGAGACCCCAGAGCACGTTCTGTAAGCTCCCAGCACAAATCCCTTCGGAAACATTAATCACAACGACCAGCGAATGCAAAATGTGTGCCTCTGCCGCGTCTGCCTTTTAATCCCAAACGTAATTCTAGAGAGCAGCCTCAGACAAGGGCTCTATTAATCCCTTACACGAGCAAATGCGATCTCTGACCTACTAGACTTGTTTTCCTGCCATTTCACGAAGAGTTAGCCTCGCTAGAGGAATGTGCAGGGACAGCAGCGAGAGAGTGGCAGGTCTCGGGACCAGCCGGCGCGTCCGCGCAGTAGTAGGGTGCGCTTCGAGTGAAAGGCGCTCTTGGCGCGGGGTGGATCACTGGTCCCAACTACGGAAATCCGACCGTGTGTGGCGGGGTTGAGGGCTAGGGCTGACTGGGCGGCAGGCTTCTAGTGGAGTTGAGAGCTGAACTGGGAACTCAGTTCTCTATTCCGAGGGCTTCGGACCTAAGTGACCTTTTTTGGTGGCTGAGTCCCTGTGAATGGGGGGGGGGGGGCGGGGGGGCCCGCCTGCCACGCTGATGAGTCAGCGTTTGACCCCCTGGGGCCTGCTCCACGCACTTGACGTTTCACTATCATGTCGTTCAATTAATCATATTTCTCTTCTCCCATTTTATTCCAAACCTTCTTCCAGTTCCCTCATAATCGTAATTTGCGCCATTGCCTTTTATCTTTGATTAATTAGGAAGCCGAAAGTGATAATGGAGGGCCGGGCTAATAAATTAGCTTTAGGAACAGACAGACCGACGTCTGGGGCTGCTGCGTGGGTGGGCACTGCCGACCCGCAGCGCAGGAAGGGGTTAAGAAAAGGCGCGCCGAGTGGGAAGATGCGCTCTGAAATAGACCCAGTGGGCGCCAGCGAAGACTTCTCACTGCACCAACTGGGGAGACTCGTAATTTTTAGTTTTCTCCTGTTTGAGTCTGAAAAAGGAAAGAAGGGAGAATTGTTTGGATGAGGGCGGGACTCCGGTTTCTTTCAAAGAGCCCTCCCCACTAGTGAGTGAACGGGATTAAAGTCTGAGCTTGATTGGCATAGGGTCTATTTTTCTGGAGCTGGGAAGGTAGATTTATTTTTCAGTTTTCCCCTTCCTCCTCTCTGCACTTGCCCATGGTCTAAAGGAGAGGGAGAAGGAGGAAAGAGGGTGGAAGAGGACCAGCTGGTGACGTGGTGGTTAAGGCGGCTGGATCCCATATGGCCGACTGAGCTGTTTTGAGTCAGGACCCAGCGGCTTGGGAAACACGCGCGTGTGTCCGGTGCATGCCCAAAATACGGAGAGGGGAGCAGAGGAGAAGGGACTGTTGTGGTCATCCTCCCCTCCACCCCCATGTCTCACTTTCCTTCTGTCTCTGGTGAGTGCACGTGCTCTATAGCAAATTTTAAAAGATCGAGAGCAGAAGAGAGAGACAGAGATTGAGAGAGTCTCTCAAGATCAGGTTGGTAATTCCCTAGCCCAGAGGAAAGTTCTTAAAACGCGCCATTCTTCCCTGCTCTGGCAGAGGCACTGGGAGAGTTTGAGGATCCTCTTTTCTCTCCCCATGAAATGGATCACGCCTCCAGAAGGTTGAAGGAGAGCACTTTGCCACTCTTCACAGCTTGGCCTCTGCCTCTTTAGCTTTCAATTGAAAACCAATTAAAGGTTTCTATAAATCTGTTAGCGCCCCTTTTATCTGGGGACCCCTGATGCATGCGATATTGCCCTTTAGATGCCTCTTCCGTGTTTTGTTTTACAATTGTTGTATCAATATAATGCGGCCTTTCTTCTCCTGTCTCTATAGATACTGATACACAAGGAAAACCAAAGCTATTCAGACTCCTCATTTGTCCAGCAGCCTAACAGTGGTGCCCTTTCTCTGCGGCTGCTCTCCCTGCTTCAGCAGCAGCAGTTATGGTAGAAGCAGATGGCTACTGATTGGGGGAGCTTTGTGGCTCTAATACTGAATACTTTATGGAAAAGGACTTTATCATGCTTCGTTGGGCAGAGGAACAAGGGGACGAGATTTATGGCCAGGAAAAATAAATCTTTTTCCAAGTTGTGGCTCCTCTCCAGTGTCTCCTTTGCCCTGGGAGTCGAGCACTGAGGAATTGGTTTGATTTTATTTTACACTCTTTTCTGCTAAAAGTCCAGGTCTGAAGGGAGCATGGTCTAAGAGCCAAAAGTGTATGAAATACCACCCCCTCCCCATTATTGTTGTTGCATCAGCATTCTCTGCCCCCAACAAAAAAACAGAAGGGTATGGTCTTGAATGCCATGTGGAGCGATATTTTCCTGGATGTCTTGTTGGGGGTGGGGGCAGGTGGCATGGTGGTTAAGGACGCCAGATTCCCACGTGGCTGGTTCAAATCCTGGACCTGGTGGCCTTCTCTCTCTCTCCCCCTCTTGTCAAATTAAAATAAATAAATAAATAAATAAATGTAAATAAAGTTAAATAAAATAATTCTTTTTAAAAAATATATTATCCAAACATGTTTTCAAAGGCTGTTTTAAGTGTTCCTATTCACAAAGTCAGAGGAGGATGCTGGTATTGAAGGACAGGGACATGATATGGCAGGTGGTGATACAGGTATGATTCTCTACTCAGAAAGGGTCTGTGAATGTAAGGTGTTGGCTCCAGACTGAATCTTCATGCTTTGGGGGATACACAGAAACCGACCCTCTACCAGAGGCTAATTCATCCCCAGATGTGCTCCCATCTTTTCTATTTCCTTTCTCACAGCTGAGTTTTACTGCTCTTGAGTCAAGTGTGCTCTGTCTCCTGCCAGGATGTTTCCCTAACCATATCCACCCCTTCTTTGTCCTATCCTCAGAACTTGCTCCCCTGCAGTACTGCCATCCCCTCCTTCAGGTCGTCCCTTTCCAGGGGCCATGACATAGTCACACAGAAATGCTCCTAACATGGAGAGGCCACATGCCTACTGGCTGCATGGGACTGAGAGAGGGCAGCCAATCACAACTCCATCTTCCTTCCCACCTCAGACAGACTCCTGGTCTCTGATTTTTGCAATGCCATTTTCCACTGCTGAGCACCTTCCATGTTCCAAGCCCCCTTTCCTTGCCTTTCCAGTTCTTTTACATTGTCTCTAGAAACTGAAGAGGAAAGGCCCAAAGGACCAGAATTCAGTTTCCAGAAGTGTCACCTGACTTTCCTCTCAAATCTGGAGTTCTACTGTCCCACACCCCAACACACACTTTTGCATTCTGCTCTTCTCTGAAAATTAGAAAACATGTAGTAGGAGATCTGAGATCTAGACATTATATTTACTCAGCCTTTCAAAGTGGGAGACACTGAGATGCTTTAAACAATTACCTTCTGGGCTCTTCCTATGTGGCAGCCTAAATGCTCTGCCAGCCTTATTGCACTCGTTCTCATGATGGGCCCTCTATGAAATAGATGCTGTTTTTACTGTTTTACAAATGAAGAAACTTAAGGTCAAACCTTTTGAAGTGATCTTCTCAGACGTACAGTTAGTAGGTTGCAGACTCAGGATTCAAACTTAAGTGGCTAAGATTCCAGTTTTCGAACCTCTTGGAGGCTTTCTCGTCCTTCGGAAGGAAACGGTATTGGGAGTTCACAGCTGATCTCTCTCACCGGACCCCAGACTGGGGAGGAGGTTTTGCAGAGCCTGAGACTGCGGCCCTGGGGCACGTCAGGCGGTTACTCGCGGCTGCGCCTGCGCAGAAGTGGCGTGGTGTTGGAGCGGCTCTGCTAGGCTCCCCAGGCTGACTCCGAGCTCCAGGCCCAGCGGCCCATAGTGCTCTGCGCGCAGCCCGCGTGCTGGCGCCGGGGGCGGGGCCTGCGGCGGCGGCTGGGGACGTCTGCAGTGTTCGAGGCATCTTTGCCTACCGCGAGGCTCGAGGCTCGAGGCCTCCCGGGAGAACTTCCCGGTCTTGGGTGTATAAGGAGGGTCAGGAACTCCCAGCCTGCTTTCATGGGCAACCTGGTTTTAGAATATTTTGTCTATTTGCAGAAGAGGAGAGGCCGAGCTCCCTCTGGACCTTGAGCCCTGGTTAGGACTGGCTGCTCATCCCGCCCACTCCCAGGCCTTGCTTTTGGTCACTAGCCAGCGGCGCATTCACTTCCTTCTCCTCTTCCGTACCCATCGACATTAGCCCTTGCCACCCTGATTTCCCTTTGTTCTTATGGTGGCACCCAATTTGTGACCCATGGCGTTTCTAACCAGGCCTAGAGAAAAGACTCCCCCAGATAGGCATGGGTTGGAGGGGTAAAGAGTGGTGAGTAGAACTCCCATCTGGATTTACTGAGGCAGGCCTCCCTGCAAACTGGCATCTCTGTCTCAGTATTAAACCGGGACAGGTTAGGTGGTGGACGGCGAGAAAAGGATAGGGATCATGGTCCGTGGTTGAACCCTTCTGTCCCTTCAGCGGTAGAGGGGATCCCTGAACGGATTTCTCCTGCCTTCTTTGTCCTCCAGTATCGCCTTCCGGTCTCCCTAGAAACGACCAGAAATCCTCATTCTATGCCGAGCCACTTTGAAAGCGGATGCACAGTACAGTTCCGAAATATGCCAGTGAGGAAGCTCAGGCAGCGTTAGTAGCAATAGACCACCAAAATAGGGTTTGCTACCTGCCAGGCATCCCGTTATGCGCTTGTTAAGTATCACCTCAACCCTCACCATTATTATGAAAAGGATTCCTCTACTGACCTCAGGTCACACACGGTCTGAGGCACATACCTCTTAAATTACGAGTGGGGAACCAGTATGAACACAGATGGTGCAGTCGCCCTGGTGGAGTTGTGGACCTGCCTGAGCCCGTGTTGTTGGTCTTTTTTCCTGGTCAATTCTTCAGGCTTATAACTAAGGAGAATGCTCATTTATGAAGGTATTGAGACCTCTCCAGGATGTCCAAGACTGCAATGAAACTAGTCCAGGCTCTTGGAAGTAATTTTTTACCATCTGCTCAGCAACCGGCTTTCACCCTCGTTCTTTCACCCTCACTGAGTCCTCACCGCGATCCTGGAGGCCGTGCTGGCTAGAGTTCATCTGGAGGAAAACCAAGGTTGAGCTAGGTCACCAGCAGCCCAGCTCCTAGCAGAAGGGAACAGGAGCTCCTCCACTGGGGAGGAGGTAGGGTCACCAGCTGGGCGAGGTTGTGTATTGGGGCAGGTGGTGTAGAAGGGAGTGTTGCTTTTCTCCCAGGTCCCACCCACTACCAGGTGCCATTCTTGGGGGGGGGGGAGTGGTCGCCTAGCAGGAGGCAAGTATTGGCACTAATTTCAAAGTGATAGGAGGCTAGAGAACGTGGGAACCAACCGTGCCTGGCCCCTTGGGAATTGAGCTTGGTCCCTGCGTGGCCTCTTTCTGTCCCACGTTCACAGGCTGCGCAGGCAACTTTTTTGAGAGCTCCTTCTCCCCTCACGATGGTATCTTGTTCTAATATCCTGCCCAGTGTCAGGACTCTGCCCTCTTTGGTGAATCAACTGAAGCACATTGAGAGCAGTGTCAACTCTTCGTGATACTTTCTGGGTGGTGTTCTCTTTGGGTCTCTCCCAGTTAGACCGGGTTTGTCCACATCAGTTCAGTCATTTGACCTCTGCACTCCTAGCTCTTTACTGAGGGGGCACGAGGAATGCAGACCTCCAGGCTTGTCTGAGTCTAGCAGGCACTTCTCTGCTTTCTTGCCAAACCCACACTGTGTAACCAAACTCAACTGTAAGGGAGGGGCCTGGAAATAGAGCAGCTAATTTGGTTCCCCAGGTAAGAAATAGAACCTGTTATGTTCTCAGTGCATCGATTTTCTCCAGGGTATTTTCACCATTTCAGGGGAACCTCATTTGTCTGGCAAACATTAGTAACTTCCTAGGGCTTTGGATAAACTTAATCTACAATACAATGTAGATAATGCCATATGGCATCTGATCTTACCCACCCAAGATATTCCATAGTAAAATTATACTCAGAAAACATTCTTCATAATTTTATTGAATGTGCTTTTCCATGACCAACTGCTTTGCATGAAAATTTGCAACAAGGAGCACTGACTACCTTATGCACATGCACCCAAGGAAAAGGACAGTCCTGAACCTTATTTTTTTTTTAAATGCCACTTCAACATTCACTCATGATCTTAAGTGCACGTGTGCACGTGCACATGCGCGCGCGCACACACACACACACACACACACACGTCCAAGTCTGATTAGGTATAAATTTGTTCAGACCTAAATTGAATTTTAGGCCTAGGAAATCTTAACATTCAGTTCAGTATAGTCAACATGTTTAAATTCTTAGAAATTTGTAAATGATTTATTTGGCAACTCTGGATATTATTCACTTTCCTTTAAACTTTAGAGAAGATTGTGAACAATGTCTTATTACATTTTATTACCAGACACTACATCACCTTACTGTTCAAATCAGTCTGGGAAGCAACTCTTCACCTAGCAAGATCAAGAATAAATATAGGGATCAGCCAGTAGCATGGTGGTTAAGGTGCTGGACTCCAACATGGTTGACTGTGGTTCAAGTCCTGGACCTCACAGCTGAACATGGTACTTTCTCTCTCTTTCTGTCTCTCACTGGTCACATTTTTAAAAATAGTAATAATAATAATAATAATAATAATAATAGAATAAATACAGGTTTAAATCCCTTTGTCTATTTCTCCACTTCATAATGCACACTCAGTATTGATTAGATGATGTAGTCCTATTGTTTACAACTTGTCTTTAATTCTTTAGGAGACCATTAGCACTGAAGAATGGCATTGGTAATTTTTAAGTGCTTTTGAAAATCTTTTCAAAGCACTAGGCTTTCTATACAATACTTGTGGAGACATCCCCCACTGACATTCATTAATACCCCTGAATTAAATCATGGAAGACCTACGATTTGTTTTATTTAAATCATGAAAGGTAGTTTTTCTTTCAAGCATTTCAACTGGCAAATAGGAGCAGGTGAACAGTTTGAGCATGGGAGGATAATTTATGAAGAAATTAAACTATATTTCCAAGGCTCTAACAAAGCAATGTGAATGATCACTGTTGTGGTTACTAATTGATATGTACTCTCCCCACATTCTCTCTCTCTTCTCCTCTTAGAGAAAATCAGATGTCTCTTTCTTCAAGGCTCAGGATGGACAGATTCCAAGGTAGAAAGTTCTGGGCAGGTGTGACCTCTGCCTAGACCCTTCTCTCAGCAGAGCAATGCTTCCTGCTGTTCATCCTCCAGTGGCCCAGTATTTCTCAGTCTAGGTTCACACCTCAGAAGGCAAGCTGGGATGGTGTGGACATACTGAGCATCAATTAGTGCTTCTCTTTTCAACTCAGGAATTACAGACCACCAATAGCTGAGATGAAAAGGGGTGGAACTCAGGTACTGAATCTTAGAATAATGTCCCTTTTCCAGGCTGCGTGAAGAAATTTGATGTAGAGGTACTTGATTTGGTGACAGTCCCAAGGCCTAGAGTCAGTCTTCTCAAAATCTCATTTGAGACTGCTGGCCACCCTGCAGCGCCCTAGTCCTGACCTGAAAAGTCTGGCCCAAGCAGGTGAGAAGGGTCAGACTGACTATGACCTGGCTAAGCTTCCCTTCCCCAAGCCTACCGTTCTAAGATTTATTCAAGGACTGTGGCATCTCAGGACCAGCAGTTAGCATAATGGCTATATGTCACTGGACTCCCACGTAGTCAACCACAGTTCGAGTCCCGGACCCTGTGCCTTAAACTCACGCCAGGGCACGTGTGTGTGCGTGCCCAAAATCCCGAGAGGAGAATGGAGGAGAAGGGATTGCAGCATGGCCTTCCCCGGGGGCAGGGGATGATTTCTCGCCTTCTACCTCTCTGTCTCTCTCTGTCTGGCGAGTGCACGTGCCCTATAGCAAAAACCTCTCAAAAAAAATTAAAAAAAAGAGGGAAAAAAAACGGACTGTGGCTTCTGAGTCTGGGGGGACTTTGGAACCTGTGGGTTTGACAGAAAACCAGGTTTTCAAGGGGTTGAGATACTGTATATTGAGATTTCGGATATGGTTCCCCAGCCACACTCACACAGGTGGGCATGGCACATGCATTTCAGGTCTGTGGAATTGCTAGCAATATCACGTTGATTCGCTAACCTTGCTAGAATTTATTCTCAGAAGCTGTTAAGCCAGTTGACTACAACTCAGATCCAGGAGAGGAATAACACAAAGCTCTCAACTGAACTCTAACAGAAGTGTAAGTAGAACTAGGAATCCCTCAGAGAGAAGAAGGTTGTTAAATTGAGAACGATGGATCATCATAATGACAACAGTAGCAATCAAAGCAGCATTATAAACTCTTCTTGAGAAAGAGGAAAAACCAAAAGAGAAGAGTATGGCATCAGGAGAAATGATTTCTACAGTTGAGAGCTTCCAGTCCTTTCTCACAGGCTACAAAATTATCCATTTCTGAGCCTTTGACTTTCCCAGGACCAGCCTAGGAAACATTTGTTCATTTATCTTCAGTGAACCAACTGCAGTAGTGATAGTGAGGAACAGACCAAGTTAAGTTTGTTGTGTGTACTTCTGCTGGGACCAGCAGATGGCATAATGGTTATGTTGCTGGACTCCCATGTAGTTGACCACAGTTCGAGTCCCAGACACAATGGACAATGGCTTAAAACTCACTCCAGGGGTGTGTGCATGTATGCCTGAAATCCATAGAGAAGGGATTGCAGCGTGGTCATGTCCTCTGGGGGGGGGAGTGATCTCTCAATTTCTGTCTCTCTGAGAGCACAGGTGTCCTATAGCAAAAATCTCTCTAAAAACAAACAAAAAAGCACCCCGCATCTGCGTAAACTTTTATACATTTCACTAGTCTGTCTCTTCTTCACTCACCAAGATGAAAAATAATTAATGGAATAAAATAAGTAATCCAATTAAGATAAACTCCCACTCTCTCTATTTTTTTAAAGAAGTATTTATTCATTCATTTATTTTAATTTGACCAGACATACACATACATACATACAGAGAGAGAGAGAGAGAGAGAGAGAGATAGGAAGCAAGCCACCAGGTCTGGAACTCTAACTGTGGCCATGTGGGAGTGTCCAGAGCCTTAACCATCACACCACCCACTGGCCCCCAACCTCCCACTCTCTTTTAAACCCACCTTGTATCCACTCTCATGATAAAGGCAAAGTGATAGGAACCAAGTTAACAATCCTCTGAACAACATTTGTGCAGAGGACTGGTGTTTTCTCCTACCCAAAACCCATCATTGTTATTACTCTTTCATGTACAAGTAATCAGTCAAGTGTGCCCCCTATAAAGTTCCTTATTCTGGAGAGTGAGGTTGGCGAATGCAGATATGGCAGATCCTTGATGTTCCAGTCTCTGCTTCCCCCAACCCTCACAGCCTCTTCCAGAACTCTCCCTGTGGGAAATTAATAAGCTTAGGAAAGAGCGGCTCCGTCTGTTTCCTTGGCATCCTCTTGTCTTCCAGCACATTTTTTTTTCTTTTGCCATGAATTGCCATACTCTTTTAACAACCAAGCCTTTGCTGGTTGTACTTTGGAAATAGGATTAGAGGAGGATGCACCAAGACCTATGAAGCAAAAGAAAGGCAATGTGTTTTTATTTGTTATAGGATAATGAACTCTAAGTAAGATATTCTTAGAGGTGTCTCCTGCCTCCTCTCCCAGAAGTTGATATTTTGGACCCAGTTTCTCAACTGTGGAAGTAGAAAGGGCATTCTCATTTTAATATTTTCCAAGAATCCTATCGCCTTTCTTCTCCTTTCTCCACCCTCTCACTTAGGTCATAAAAGGCACCACCTTGGGAATCATCTATCAACCTCCCTCCAGCCTCTTCCAAAACCCTGCAGTTGTCTACACATGTATTTTCACTCTGCCTGCAGGGGGTCTTACCAAAGGGGAGCAAGATGAGCATACTCACCCTTTATTGTCATCCTTCTAATCATTTAATTGGAAATGAAGTCCCAGGGAAAAGAGCTCCAAATATATTCATAAACCCACCGTTCCATGTGAACTGCAGAAAACTATTGACTGAGGTACATTTTTATAGTACTGTCTGAGGCTGAATAAATGCCTCAATCCTTCATTTACTGTCACCAAATTCCAGTACGTAATAATGCAATGATTTCCGAGTATTTTATGCATCATTTTAGCTCGTAAATTTCTAGTAAAGTAAAAAATCATTTGTAGATTTTATCTACAAATTAGAGGAGGATTATTATTGATGATCACTTAGAGTATCTATATTACCAGGCAAAGTGTGTACCACTTAAAATACTGAAAAACTCATGAAGTAGGAATGTCAACTTAATCTTGCCTATTTGTTTTTTGTTATGTCAACCGTTTAATACATAAGACAAAGAGTCGTTTGGACTCATAAAATGTAAGAAATTCTTTTGCTTAGGGATCTTCACCTGAAAAGCAAGAGAAAAATCTAATTAAAGGGCAAGTGAAACAGATGAAACATCTGCTGGCCAGATTCTCAATAAATCTCTCCCCTCTCTGATGTATAGAACTTAAGCTGTTTTCTCACTTGAGATTCAGAAGGTCAAACTCACTCACCCTCAGTTTAAGTACCAGAAACGTTATTTTATAAGAACTGGAGTCAAGGTTTCAGTATCTTTAAGAAGGTACAGTCTAAATGTTCTCTATATTTTTTGGAGAGAAAGAGCAGGCACAAGAAAAATGATTTTCATTTAGAGTTTCTAAATGTTCACATGCTGGAATAGATGCTCTTGTATTTATAATATGTAAGAGGATTTTTAAAAGTTGCTTGCATGAACAGATGACTTTTTTCTGGCAGAGACAAAGTTTCTATTCTCTAAACAACAGCACAAGACAGTACTAAGGCGTGTCTGTTTAATGGATTAACAGAATTAAGTTTCCAAACACCGTCTTTCCTCCCCTGAAGTTCGTTCTTGCATAGTATCAGACTATGATTTCTAAGGGACTATGACTCTCCTATAGCCACCTCTCTATCATAACCTATGCCTCTCCTGACCCTTGCTTTTTCTTTCTTCTTCTCTGGATTTGTGTACGTATCAGGACACTCTTCTTCAACTCTGAGGGTTGATTCCCAGATGTTTGAGAGAATTCTTTCAGCATTCCTAATTCTTTAATCCTTTCTTTGAAGTGATAGGGAGGGAGGGGATGGTGGTGATAGCTTCATTTGTGTGTGTAGAAGGAGAGGGAGAGACAGAGATGGAGAGACAGAGAGAGATGCAGTGGAGCAGACAGACCCAGCCAGTGGGTAAAGACAACTGTGGATGCAGACTCCTGCATACAGACATGCGAGAGCTCTCATTGCATGGAGCCTTGGTCATTAGGTCACTCCTAGCCCAACTATTTAAAACTGCAGAAACTTTGAAGAGAAAAAAATGACTTCTTAAGATGAAAGAAAACTGCAGTTTGAGAAGCTTAAGGGAAAAAAGTCAGTAACTAACCTGGACATTTGGGGAGAATTCCCCCATTTCACCCAATATATGAGGATTGTGCAGCTCTTTCTTCCTGGAGCCCCATCTTAATCCTAGATAGCAACTCTTTCTGGTCAGAAGGACTCAGATTGGCATGAGTTGCTGACCAGAAAAGAGAGGAGAGACCGAGGAAGAGGGCTCTCTTGGTGGGAAGTTCCCTGCACTTCTTATTTCTCCTGGGTAAAATTCTTCCCTGGCCTTGGACTGCAGGCAGGCTCCGGGAAAAGCTTGCAGTGCTGCTGTCGCGCTGGGTTCTAGAGAGGTCTCAGGACAGCAAAAGGATCAATAACATGGGAAGCTGCTTTTTTGCCAACTCCCAATATACTCATCTGATTTCAACCTTAAAGAAAATGAGGCTGTCTCTTCCCTAAGTCGTGATTCTGCTTCTTTCTCTTTAGCCTGCTTCACAATCCGATTTATTCTAAAGCTGACAGATTGCCCACTTCAATGTAGTGGTGGTGTGGGTGGAGCGAGGGAGTTGAGCCCATCTATACCACTCAAAGGCCTTTCCTTAGAAGTGGAGAGTTGAATAGCGAAAAGGAACCTCAGATTCCCCCAGCGAAATAGTGCTGCAACTCTCAGACTGTTACTGACCTCAAGTCATTAGCATCAGCTGCTGCGCTGAATGGGCAAGCCAGCGCCTCTAAGTGGCTTAGCGCACAAACGAGGCTCCCGAGACGGCCTTGGCAACTCCATCCACTCCTCCACCACCGTCTGGCCGTGAAAGCTCTCCCGAGCCCATCTCGGTAATAATAATTTTTACTTTGAGTCACTCTCCCTTCCCACCCGAGGTCTTAAGAGTACCGGCCATCCTCATTACGGGACCCCCTTCGGGACTACGCTGGAAGCGCCATGCAGAGGGCGAGAGGAGTAGAAACTGCTTGAGTCCAGTAACCTGGGCTCTTCCACCAACCACCATCCCGGATCCCAAATACCCGTGTCCTGGTACTTGGGGACCCCTGTAAGGCCCCTTCCGAGGTCTGGTGGCGTTCCCACTCTGTCCCTTTCCCCCATCTTCTGGACTACGGGAAGGCTGAGCCAAGATCTCACCAAAGCGCATCCTTCCTGAATTTTGCACGGGAGGGCTTGGTAGTGTGAGCGCTTCCAAAGAGAGCCGGAGCCCGTGTATCTTCCCCCAAGCAACTACCTGCGCAAATCAGTGGAGGCTGAATGGCCAGAGAACCTCTTGGGGCTGATCCACACCCGTCGCACT